TAACTCGGGGGTCTTCCACTTCGCTGATAAAGACTTAAATGTATGTTTATTTATGTATGCATGTATTAGAATGTTTTACATAATAATAAGTTGAAAATAATCATAGCAAGTAGATAGTTGATTTTTTATATGCCATGCTTAATATGGGCGTGTATGTTTCACTTTCGACTTTCTAGTACTTGTGAGAGCGTTAAATCTACAATGGTGTTTGTACACCATACACCATCAGAAGCATGACAAGGACTGAATGAATAATGATTTTATACCAGTTTTGGTCTCAGACTTTCATGGTGGCATCGACCTTGTAATATTTGACAACGCAATTTCACGACGTGCCGTGACGTCGCTCAAAAATTCACTGGAATATCACTTTCACGCACTATACTAGTTGATTTTAACTCGTGGCTTCAGTACTATTTAAGACGACGGTATATATCTATGACTTTTTTAATTGTAAAGGACTCGTGCTCCTGTTTTTCGCATTCATTGTACACAAAAATCACCCATTACATATTTGTGTCTCTTGCGAAATTGAACCCTAACATCCGTGCAGTCTAATCCATATACCGCACTTTTTTTTTACTACAACATTTTGCAATGTTGTCTTTTTATTACTTACTTAGGTATATATTATAAACATTATACTATTAGGCCTTCTTCCTATTTATGATCTTTTTTACATCTTATACAAACGTAAAAAATCAGCGTGTTTTGTTCCTCACAGCGTGAAATGGTGCAGCTATTTCTTGATAAAATATCTCCAAAAAATGGGTAGAAAGTGCATCCAAATCGTGTTGCTATTTTGCTTGTATACTTGTCTATAGATATTTATGGTAAAAACTTGTACTATTCAAAGCTTTCTTTTACGCAGAGCCAATGGCCTCTAATGTTGGGAGTCATTAGAGATCAATTTTCATTGTGATTAGGTACTTAATGGACAAAAATGTTTAGCTCCTAATGTCATCTTGAATAAAACCTTGCAGAAGTATAAATATACTTGAATGTCTTAGAAAGGAATTGAGAGGCTCGGACAGTTGTGTATATTTTTTATAGTCACCAAACTTGAGATATGATCACGTCCTTAATATGTAGGTAATAAATACATTTGACTTGCCTGACGCTTCGAGGAGAGGCAATTGTTATGTCGAATGCGGAGATATGAAGTATGTGATTAAATTCCCCTTAATATAGTAATATGCAAAAGTTGAGAGTCACACTATTAAGAGAGAGCGTCTTAGGATTATAATTTACTAGCTTTTGCCCGTGTCTCCGCCCACGTGTATGTCGGTTATTTCGGTAAATAGTAACCTATGTCCTGCCTCAAGAATCAAACTATCTCCTTATCCAATTTTACCTAAATCAGTTCTGCGGTTATTGATTCCCCATACTAACTTCATGTCCCTTCTCAACACTTAAACTATATCCATAATACATTTCATCCAAATCGGTTCAGCGGTTTAAGCGTGAAGAGTTAACAGACGGACAACCACACTTTCGCATTTATTATATTAGTATCTATGGATATCAAATTATAATTACCTTCTTAGAGCAGTCTAACTATGCAGCTATATAAGCCGATTTTTTTTCCAAACAAAATCTAGAAACTGTTTTGCTAACTAATTACACTCAAATCGATCCAACCGTTTCAAATATATAGATAAATGCTGAAGTGTTGCCACCTTGCCACCAATTTCCTTCAAAAACAATGGACAACTGTGACAGACACACGACATAACAGACCGGACAATATTTAATTTACTTTTACAATTTTAGTTTTACTTTTCATGAACTGATTTTCACCATCAATAAATGACGTTTTACACAATATTTTTATTTCGTAAAACCTGCGGATACCTTGCAAACAACAGTAGGTAAATAACCGAGAAAACTCACGACAAAGGCAGCCTTTGTAAGTCCCTGACTTTAGTCTATTTAAGGACCTCTTCTTTTTGCGTCTGGTGTTTAAAACAACGTCTCACTGTCTGTTAATTGTTTAACATGCAAAGTGCAAAACTTTACACTTTTCTTTAATGATTCTTTCCCTTTGTGTAAAAATATCTGGACAGGTATCAGTACGAATATTTAGTAGATGTATGATGTATGTAGAGTATCTACTATGTCTATAATGTAGGAAATATGTTTTTGTCTTTTAACGTATTTTTTGTTTAAATACCGTTTTCATCATCAAAATTAATTGGTTTATGGATCTCGTTATAAGATAACAGTACCAATTAAAAAAGCGGTTCACAAACTGTAATACACTAAGAAATCCCTTTGATCCGTGTAGTGATGAATTAAGAATACATAATGTCACCACCCCTATTCATCCCGTGAGTGTCGTAAGAGCCGACTAAGGGAGCAAACTACGCAGGACAACAGCACTCCAAAGAGAAGGAAAACTTGAAACAAACCTTATACCAACCCGTCTGGCCAGCGTTGTATAATAGGACAAAACCTCCTTTCCAAGGAGAGGCCTATATCCAAGAGCAGACTATCAAAAGGCTGTTAATGTGATGTTGATACAATGAAATAACAAATAACTATTTTAAATTGATTCTAAAGTCGTACAACCCAAATTATCTTTAGTCGTCGTCGCTGGAACAATCCTGAAACATAATTATAAGTTGTTGATCACAAACCAAATCGAACACTTCTCAAAACCTTATTTCAAAGGAAAGTCTACCTATGTCTAGCAGTGGACTATTAAAGGCTGATTATGATGAAGAAATCCCTATACACTGCAACTTCTTAGGAAATTGGTTGTTTGCTGAATTGGTTTTACCAAGAAATGTACCTATGTGGTATCCTAGCGTTCTATTGAAGAGCCACTGCACTTACTATCCTTACTTGCAGAGTATTCTTAGTCTTAAAAAGTAATCGGATGGACATCTTGTATTCAAATGTTCATGAACGTATTGCGTAATTGACTTAACTTCTGCTTTACAAGAATATACCTACTTAAAACCCTAAGATCACGTAACAATGCGTCCGGCGACAAAAATATATGACATTCATGATTATTGCATACGTTCACTTTTATGTCACGAATGTTATGACTTCCTTGAAGTAGTTAGTATGTTAAATGGAATATTTTTAAGAGTAACTTGTGACTAAATAATTAATAGTTCCAGAGGTGTTTACTTAAAAGATAGCGTGGTGGCTTAATCTTACGGCTAATGTACTGTCAAATAAATAACTGTATTATCCACCAATAAAAACTCATTACAAGGAATACGTCGAATGGATAAGTAGAAATGGTGGCCTTGCGTTAAGAAACGAGTTGGGTTTGAGGTTCTTGGTGGCTCGACTGATGACTTGACAATTAAATGTATTGACATCAAAATCTTATTTTAATTTTATATACTAGAGCGATTTTGGTGGTATATTTTTACAGGCTCAATAAATAGAACAAATCAAAGGTAGTTTGTGTTTAAGGAAGAACTGTACCGATACCTAGACGATAAATTAAAATCTTGATTAAAGAAATTATGCGTAATTATAAACCATATACATATAGCAAGAACATCGATAAATGTAAGTATTAAAAATATATATACTTTCATTTATTTAATATGTTTTCAACTTCCTTTAGCAGTGACTAAGATTAGTAGTGCACATAAACTGCTCACTATTTAATTTGCATATCATCCACCTAGATCTTTAGTGCGCATTACGAACCAATACCAAGCTAAAATATATAAGCTATTATTTTCATTGTAAATTAATTTTATTAATTTCTGTTACTTATAACTAACTACTTGTAAAGTGAGTGATATGTGTATAGTGGGTTAGCGCAATAAAAGGCTCTAAAGATATAGAAAATAG